ACAGGTGGTGGGCCGACTGCCAGGGCGGGGGGGGGGGGGCCTGAGTGGTCACCAACAGTGCCCCCCTTTGTCTCTCACACAGGTCTCGGTTTGGTGACGGACTCTACAGGCAGCCGCCTGAAGGCACTGGCCGTCCCCAGGTCTCCTGAGGACACGGTTAGCTCCTGCTCACCCCTGGCTCACCAGGTGTACCTGGCTCAGGGCCTGAAGATGGCCTCACCAAGAAATGGCCTCAGAAGGCCTTCCCTCCGCTTCTGAGCAATTCCCAACAAATGCCACAGGGGCGTGACCACAGCCGGGAGGCACCAGGACCCTCAGCCCACAGCCCCATGATGCCACCCTCTGAAAAAACAGGGGTTTGCGACTCTTGGAAACACGGCGTCAAAAGCACTTAATAACAGAGAATTGGAGCCATCAATACAGAGAACAAACCAATGGGTACCAGAGGGGCGGGCGGGGGAGGGCAGAGGGGTGCAGAGGACAGGGTGGCACGGTGCCAGGAGTCCAGCCAGTGACGTCGGGGTGGCCGATGGCAGCCACGCTCACGGTGAGCACAGCACAACCCACAAGGCTGTCCCGCCACTACGCTGTATACCCACCAGTAGCCCCTAAAATCCACTTTGCTTTTATTTAATTATCCATTTAAAAAAATTTTTTAATGTTTATTTATTTTTGAGAGAGAGACCGTGAGAGCGTGAGTGAGGGAGGGGCAGAGAGAGGGAGACGCAGAATCCAAAGCAGGCTCCAGGCTCCGAGCTGTCAGCACAGAGCCCGACGCGGGGCTCAAATTCGTGAACCGCGAGATCATGACCCGAGCCGAAGTCGGCCGCTTAACCGACTGAGCCACCCAGACGCCCCTACTTCGATTTTAAAAAGTACGTGGCAGGGGCGCCTGGCTGGCTCAGTGGGTACAGCACACAACTCCTGATCTCGGGGTTCTGAGTTCGAGCCCCACGGGTGTAGATGACTTAAAAATAAAATCTTAAATATAAAAAAAAAGTACACAATAGCAAAGAGTAACAATCATCACAAAGTTTTAAAAGGACACAACAGCAACCACCTAAAACGTGAAAACGGGGGTTTCTGCCACGAATGGATCAAAATAACACACCAGTGAAAAATGCTCATAACTGCAATACAAAAACACGAAGGTAGCAGCCACATAAACCGTGACAGCTGGGTACCAATTCTATTTATTGTGAGTGAATGTTCACCTAGAAAAATATTTCGATATTTATGAATACCACAGGATATATATATTGTAAGCCAATTCCTAAAACAACGGTTTTTCTCATTCAAGAAACTAAAAATAAAGAGAAATGAGCGTTCTTCAGTGTGGGCCACGTTGCCTACACTCTATACGGCAGCTAAGCCTTTCTGTTTTCCCTCGGAAATAATGACAGACACACAGGAAGCTGCAGAAATAGTACAGAGGTCCCAGAGGCCCGACCCCCAGCTTCCCTGAGGGCTAACATTACCAACTAACACTTTGAGCTGTCTGGGAAGGGGACACATTTGAATTTTAATTAAAGAAAACATTCTAAAACTTCTTAGAGCCTTCCTTAGTTTCAGAGGTCCTGATGGAGATTGTATTTATGCTGTTCCCCAAAATGTATGTGCTTCTGGAATGCAGGTGTGAAACCCCACCCCCTGCCTCTCCCCAGTGTGAGGACACTGATGTGCTCACAGCTATACAACCACACACATGCACACGCCGCACTCACACACACCTACACATACGTGCACACTCACATGGCACAAATTTTCCTGCATTTGACTCCCACAACCACTAGGGGGCCTCTGTCAGACACGCCAGGCTATATTCCACACTAGATATATTCCAGATGTTCCAAATATATGCATAAAGCGCATAATAAACATATCTGTACTATATATAAGAATCAAGGAAACCCACATAGCATTGCCAGCTTACAGTTTTGCCACATGGCAACATTTTCCCTGAAACTGCCCCTTTGTATCGTTATGTTTTTTCATGAAAAGGCGACCTTCACATCTCCAAATAAAACTGTAGGAAGCTTATCATCTCAGAATAAGCCTGTTCCAGAGCAGCGCTGCCCAGCGGAAACTCCTGTGATGACAGAATGTCCTAGATCCACACTGTCCAGTGCAGTATCCGTGAGCTGCCCATGAAACATCGCTAGTGGGGAAAAGGAACTGACTTTTAAATGTTACATAATTCTAAATAATTCTGTTTGTCTGTTGGGGTTAAGTAGGCTTCTGCCCAGCATGGAGCCCAACGTGGGGCTTGAACTCAGGACCCTGAGGTCACGACTTGAGCTGAGATCAGGAGAAGGACACTTAACCAACTGGGCCACCCAGGCACCCCTAATGTTAACGGATTTAACCCTGAGAAGCCCCCAGGGCTCAGGGCCACCAGCCCCAGTAGCACTGAGGCAGGCAACACCGGACTGAGCGCGGTCTGTGGTGGTGACAGATGAAAACGGCTCATGGCCTCACAGGGAAGGTCCGTCTAAACTCTCCATACGAACATCGGGGAGAATCCAGGACAAATGGTGGAAGGAAAAAGGCAAGCTCCCACAGGGTCTGCAGACCCTGCTGACACATAACAGATTCCCCCAAAACAGCACTAGGCGTTATCTGTGGAAACGCGTCTGTGTGTGGAAACCTGTGGACTGTGAACCACTCATGGTTGCTGCTGCCACAAAGGTGGCACATGGAAAACCAGTGCAGGCTGTGGTCAGCTGCGGTGAGTGGTTTCATACTTTGCAAAAAGACAACACTGTGAACGGGTGTAATGAATCCACATGGTTCAAAATCGAAAGCCACCAAAGGGCCTCTGGTGACAAATCTCCCTCCTGTGTCCTCCCCAGAGGTAACGGGTCAGTTAGGCTCCGAAACTCCCTTCCAGAAAACAATTTATGCACACAGGCAAACACGTTCTTTCTTACTATTCGGCACCTCTCTCTACTTTTCCAAACGTAGGCGTCTCTAGATCATTCTACTGAAATATAAAAAGAGCTTCCTCGGGGCGCCTGGGTGGCGCAGTCAGTTAAGCGTCCGACTTCAGCCAGGTCACGATCTCGCGGTCCGTGAGTTCGAGCCCCGCGTCGGGCTCTGGGCTGATGGCTCAGAGCCTGGAGCCTGTTTCCGATTCTGTGTCTCCCTCGCTCTCTGCCCCTCCCCCGTTCATGCTCTGTCTCTCTCTGTCCCAAAAATAAATAAACGTTGAAAAAAAAAAAAAAGAGCTTCCTCTGTTTATTTTTCACAACTGCAGCCCCACATTGTACAGAGACCATAATTTTGGATGGTTAACTCTAAATAACACGACTATCTACTGAAAGAAAATAGGAAATGGGGCCCACTTTGGATTGTAGGAACATAAGCCACTGTTCATTCCTTACACTGTATACTTTTCGGTACTTTTTAAATTTCTTAAAATTTAAAAGAGTTCATTTTGCTGTTTCCATTTTCACCCCACAGCGAAAACGTCCTTGGAAAACCTGGTCAGTGGGAAACGTGATTATGCAGTGCCTGGCCCCCTCCCACGCACCACCCACCCCAGACCGCCACCCCAGGCCCTCAGGCTCCTGGCCTGCCTTCAATTCCACACTTGCAGGCTCAACCCTTTGGTTCCGGGATCACAATGTGGATACGACCGAGCCACTTCTAAGCCATCTTTGTGCAAGTTGCCGGGTGTGTGAACCCATGCAAGCCCACAGCCACTTACCCATGAGGACTCCCAGGGTGACCATGATGATGCTGGTGGCCACAACAACGCAGAGGGCCATGCGGCAGCACGAGGTGTAGGGGGCTGGGACTTCCTTTGCTGTCCCAGGCACAAGCTGTAAGTCACCAGCGGTGGGCTCCATGGCTCCTACACACTGGGAAGGCGACCTGGATGCCAGCAAGAAAGGGCGAAAAAACAGGGTCAGGGCTGGGGGATGCGTCTCTTCCCCTAAGCAACGCTTTTACTTGTGCAGATGTGGCAGCCTCCAACAGTGCCCTAGGTGCCTGTATTAAAGCCCTAAAAGGCGGCACAGCGTGATTGCTGGCTGGGCCTGTGCATGCGGGCTCCCCCGGGTCCCTGGGGTCCACTGCCAAGACGGATTCGTGACTTCCTGGTCGCCGTTAAACAAATCACCGCAAACCTAGTGTCGCCGAGGAACCCAGATTTATTACTAAGCAGTTCTGGCCTCAGAAGTCCTAACATCCAGGCCTGGGCAGGGCCGGTTCCCCCCGGAGCCCCAGGGAGACCCGTCTCCCCACTTTTCCAGCTTCTAGAGGCGCCGCATCCTGGGCCCGCGGCCCCTCCTCATCCTCACCGCCAGCAGCGCGGGGTCAGCCCGGCTCTCTGCCTCCCTCTCGTGAGGACCTCGTGAGGACGCCGGGCCCCCGGGGCCTCCCCGAGTCACCCCCGCCTCAGGGGCCTTGACAAGGACCCCTCTGCCACGTGACGCGACACATTCCAGGCTCTGGGACTAGAACGGGTAAGTCTCCAGGCCACCGCTCGGCCTAGCGGCACAGAACACGCGGACGCAGAGCGAACCAACTGGAGCCTAGCCGAGCGCCAGGTCGGGCGCCCGCACCGTCCTTCGTGGCCCTGGGGTCTACGAGAGCGTCCGCAGCCGCCAGCATCCCTGGCGGAGGGACAGGCCTCGACGCGCCCTCGGCTGACAGTACGCGGGGTACTTATCCTCGTTAGGGCCTCAGCTCCGAGAGAGCCAGAGGCAGCCATGCGCTCCTCTGGTCACGCGTCCAGCCCGCCCCTTCCTCCCGGTCTCGCGAGAGACCCGAGACCAGGCAGGCCCTGCGAAGCCACCACTTGGTCGTAATCCCGCGAGAGACCCGACCGAGGTCACGCGAGGCCACCCGTTGTTCGCGGTCTCGCAAGAGGCCCAGCGGAAGTCCCCCTCGACGCGGCCTCGATCGTAGTCTCGCGAGAAACCCCGCTGAGGCCGCGCAAGGCTTTCTTGCGAGGCTGTCTCCGAGAGGAGTAGCTTCTGCGTCTCTTCGGTCTCCTCCCGGGAAGGGGGGAGGAGAGTAGCTGCAGCCTGGCCGCGCCCGCCTCCTGCTTCCTCCTGTCAGGTAGGCCGAGTGCGGGCCGTAGGTCAGCCTTTCCCTCCGGGGGCCTTTGGTCCTCCTCGTGCCTGCAGCCGCTCCCTCTCTGCGCCGGGCGGACACAGGGCTGCTCTGGGGGGTCTGTGGGCACCAACGGCAGGCCTGGGTGTCAGGGAAAACACCGGGCGCCCAGATGCGCTTGGATTTCAGATGAGCAGATCCTGCTTTCGCAGCACGAGTGTGTCGCTGGCCTGGCTAATTTTACGTGTCCTCTTGGCCGGGTTGTGGCGCCCGGTGGACGGGTCAGACATTATGCTAGAAGTTGCCGTGGAGGTAATGGTTAGACGTAACTACCTTTGCAGTGAGCAGATGTTGAGTAGAGCAGGTGACCCTCCCTCTTGCGGGTGGGCCACATGCAATCAGTTGAAGGCCTTCGGAGACTAGGAACGCCGCCTCCCGGCGGCCTGGGGGACTCGAGCTGCAGCATCAGCTCTGCCCTGGGTCTCCAGTCCGCCCTGCGGATCGCGGGCTCGCCAGCCTTCACGTTGGCTGTGTTTCTCTGGAGAACCCCGATTGACACAGCCCCTAACATGCCTTGTGCAACATTTGGGACCTACTTACGCTAAAAAAAAAAAAAAAAAAAAAAAGTATTTGTCGTTCGCTTGAAATTCAGATCTATCGGACTGTGCTGTATGTTTATTGTTAAGGCGGGAACCCTATGCTGGGGCCCAGCCAGAATACTCCATCCTCAAGGGAGTGTGTCTCTGCCGGGAATGGCCACTCCATGCCTCCCCGCCGCCATCTGGAGATGAGGAGAAAGGGGAGATGTGCGGGGGTGGCGGGGAGTGAGGCTGTGTAACACTTACCCCTTTATTCTCACACTTGAGCCGAATTGCCTTCTGAGGAGCCAGGGGATCTCTAAGAATCACTTGATGAAATGTTTTAGGGACAAAGACACCAAGATTCACCTCTGTGATTAGGGCTGGAAACTCAAGTTTAGTGTATGAGCTCATTGACACGCATCGCCCCCCCCCAACCAAATACACACACTATATTCATTCAGCCCCAGCTGCCCCTGCTACCCCCCCAAGCCTGTGGGTTTTCTAAGGATTCCTGTGTTCTCCGAATTGTCTTGTCATCACTGTCATTAGGACGCAGAAGGGGCCCGATGCTGTTTAGCATCGAATATAGAAGCACTATTCATTCAGCTTTCTGTCTGTCTGATATTTGTGACGGGCCAGGCCTGGGTGCTCTGTGCTGAGTCCCCAGCCCTGAAATGAGGCAGATGGGATTCTCTGAGCTCAGAGAGCTTAAATCAGAGTGGCAGGGCCCAAAATAAATTAAAATTACAGCTACAATTAAGGCTTGAAAATGAAGATGTGTCCATGGGGCTTTGAGTCCGTGTGAAAAGGAGCTTTGATCTAGTTGGGGCCGGGGGGAGGGGGGGTGGCGTCAGGAAGGGCTTCCCTGGGGGAGGGGTGTGTTATCTGAGTTCTGAGGGATGAGCGAGCATGAATTCAGTAAGTGCCCACGGAAGGAACAGATTTCCACACAGGACAAAATGCGTAAAGCCCCGTAGCTGAGTGGGAAAGGAAGGGCCAATGCAGAGAAGGTGTGTCAGTTGTAGCTGCTCAGCACATTTCTGCCAACATAGCAGCTTAGAACAACGCATAGTTATTCTCTTGTGGTTTCTGTGGCTGGGATCCCGGCAGCTTTCAGCTGGGTCCTCTGCTCTGGGTCTCAAGAGGCCACGAGTCAGGTGTTGTTAGCTGGGCTGCATTCTCATCTGGAGGCTCAGCTGGGGAAGGATCCACTTCTGAGCTCCCGATATGCCAGAATTTGTTTCCTGGCAGTTGTGGGGCCTGCTGGCTGTTGGCCTGGAGCTGCTGTTAGCTCACAGGCCCCTGACAACACAGTAGCCACATTGTCAAGGCCAGAGAGAGAAATTCACTGCAGCGTTCTAGGATGGGGTCTTTTTTTTTTTTTCTTCTTAAGTGTATTTATTTATTTTGAGAGAGAGAGAGAAAAAGCAAGCAGGGGAGGGGCAGAGAGAGACGGATAGGGAGGATTTGAAGCAGTCTCCATGCTGTCAGCACAGAGCCTGATGTGGGCCTCAAACTCATGAACTGTCAGATCATGACCTGAGCCGAAACCAAGAATTGGACACTTAACTGACTGAGCCACCCACGTGCCCTACTACGGTGGAGTCTTACAGAATGTAAGACGACGATGGGAGCCACACCCTGACACCTTGTTCATCGAATGTGACTTAAGGCAGTGGCCATGACATTGTATTCAGCGGGTTCACACTCGGGGGGAAGGGGTTATACAGGGCATTCGTGCTGGGGGACAGAAATCTTAGGAACCTTTTAGAATTCTGCCTACCACAGATATGAGGAGGGGTGATCTGAGGTGTGCATGGGGATAAGCAGGGTGCATATTTCACTGGTGTTTGAGAAGGAGAGATTAGACAAATGGGAGAGGCCATCTTAGAAGAGAAATGAGCTGGGAACTTTCCAGAACTGCTGGGAGATCTGAATCCTCAGACTTGAAAGGCACAATGCCAAGCATGACAGATAAAACAGATGCTCAGAGTAAATCCACAGAATAAAAACAAAGAGAAGGTTCTAGGAGTAACTAGAAAGTAGAGATACGCCACCTACAAAGGAATGCTGGTTAAGAGCAGCAGATTTCTCAACAGAAAAGAAACCGAGGTGAGAGAATAACATGTTCAAAGTGCTAGGTGGAAATAGGTGTCCATCAACAATCATATACCTAAACCCACATGGTCAAGAAGGAGACTCAAGGGGCGCCTGGGTGGCTCAGTCGGTTAAGTGGCCAACTTTGGCTCAGGTCATGATCTTGTGGTCCGTGAGTTTGAGCCCCGCGTCGGGCTCTGTGCTGACAGCTCAGAGCCTGGAGCCTGTTTCAGATTCTGTGTCTCCCTCTCTCTGACCCTCCCCCGTTCATGCTCTGTCTCAAAAATAAATAAACGGTAAAAAAAAAATAAAAAAATTAAAAAAAAAATAAACTTAAAAAAAAAAAGGAGACTCAAATGCAGACAATTGCAGGAAGACTGTGAAGCTCAGCACTAACACACCAGCACTGAAAAACGCTACTGAAGGATGGAATGAGGAAAACTAAAATTGGATTTGGAACAAAGAGGTGAAATGCCAAAGCACCATGAACCCAGATACTGGTTAACATGGGGAAGCATCGGAAAAGCACTGTGTCTATAAAACGATAATATTGACCAACTTGGGGTGCACAGATACCAAGGCTGAACCGGCTACAAGATGGAAGCATGAGTGCAGTTGAAAGACTCTAAGGTTCAGAGAAAAAAAAGAGATTAGTGATTAATTTCAGACCTTGTCAAGTGAAACATGCATGGAAAAATTTTAAGAGCAATTTTGATAACAGAACTGAAATGGATAGCTTCCAAATAGCAGAGTGAAAAAAGATGTGAATGCAGGAGAAAGGGAAGAAGGCAGAGAAAGAGAAAAAGAAAACATACAAATGTACTTAAATGTAAAAGAATTGGTGAGGTTAGGTCTTTTTAAAAGTCAGCTAGATGTTTTAGGTGGTCTCTTGTAAACCGCAAAAGGCACAAAATGAAAGAGAGAAAAATTGTAAACTCTTATGTATGTAATACCAAAATTTAACACTAGACAAGTTTACTTAATGGACCTATATTCCCTATACTGAGAATAAGTTTACTTTTTCAGGATTCTCTGTATTGAGAATAAATTTACTTTTTCAGGCACACACGAAATATTTACAAAAATTAATCATGTACTTAACCACAAAGCAAATCTCCACAAAACCCAAAAACTCTACACTCGATGCACATGTCTTGTGGAGTGCAATTAAAGTTTTTTTTTTTTTTAACGGTTTATTTATTATTGAGAGACAGACACAGAGCGTGAGCAGGGGAGGGGTAGAGAGAGGGGGAGACGTAGAACCCGAAGCAGGCTCCGGGCTCTGAGCTGTCAGCATAGAGCCTGACGTAGGGCTCGAACTCACAAACTGCAAGATCATGACCTGAGCCGAAGTCGGTCGCCTAACCAACTGAGCCACCCAGGTGCCCCTCGTGGCACTGCAATTAAATTAGATGACTGGAAATAACAAAATCATGGTTGAAAAGTCTAAAATTACTTCTACAGAATTAATGATCCCAGGAAGAAATTATAGCTAATTAAAATACTTAGAACTGAATGTGCTTGGCATCAAAATACCCGATGCACCCAAAGCTGTCCTTACAGCGGTCACCGTCAGTGTTCCATCAAGCCAGACAGCCCACACAGCATCCACTGCACTGAGGTCAGCTGCCGGAACCCTGGTGTCCTTGGGAGACCAGGCCACATTTTGGGTTGTATTGTCCTGAGCAAAGCTCCTTCTCTGTGCCAATGACCCAGGAAGTACTCATGGGGCAAGTGTGCCTGCTGTCTTTTTTCTTAATATTTCCTGAAGACACATCTGAGAAGGCAAATCTGGCAAGAAGAGAATGGAATGGGAATTCAAGGGGGTAAAGATCGCCCGATGAGAGGATGTGTAGGCCAAATTTAAGATTGCCCAGACTTTATCCTCAGCGTCTGGGAGCTTTTTCTTGGAGGCTGAGATCAACCATGTGGGCAATCAGTGGATCAGCCAGCAAATCCATCAATGAATCAGTCTTGGGAAAAACGCTGGACACAGAAAATGGAAGTTAGGGGGTGCTGCTCAGATTGGTTATAGTCCATGCGTGTTGTCGCACGTGCCCCAAGAACAACACACCCTGACTGCGCAGGGAGAGGACCATGGAAGCGTCAGGCTTTGTCTTTGTCCTGGTGCTGCAGACTAGTGTCTCTGTCCCCCCAAATCCATATGCTGAAACCCTACTCCCCAAGATGACGGTACGGGGAGGTGGGGCCTCTGGGAGGGATTAAGTCATGAGGGTACAGCCCGCATGAATGGGGTAAGTGCCCCTGTAAGGGAGGCCCCAGAGAGCTCCCTGGCCCCTGCTCCATGTGAAGACACAGTGAGAATATGGCCATCTGTGAACCAGGAAACAGGCTCTCACCAGATATGGAACCTGCCAGTGCCTTGAACTTGGATTTCCAGCCTCTGGAGTCATGAGAAATGTGTGTTGTTCATCAGCCACCTGGTTGGTGGTGTCCAGCTAGAGCTGCCCGAGCAGACTGAGACAACTGCCCTCTTCCCCACTGGCCTCTCTCTTTGGCTCCTTTTACCCCGTAATGTTAATCCCTGCAAGCCGTAACTGTGACTGTACCCGCTTTTAGTGAGTTCTGAGTCTTTCTAGGGAGTTGTTACACCTAAGAGCGGTGCAGGGGACCTCCCTGCATGAGTCTCCTGGGGCTGCCATAACAGAGCAACACAAACCGAGCAGCTCAAACAGCAGAGATGTATTCTCTCCCACCCCTGGAGGCCAGAGGTCCAAAATCAAGGTGTAGGTAGTGCTGGTTCCTTCTGAGGCTGTGAGGGGGAACCTGCCCCAGGCTCCTAGATTCTGCTGGTCACAGCAGTCGTGACCCTTGGCCTGTAGAAGCATCCCCTCATCTCTGCCTCCGTCTTCATAGGACCTTCTCCCTGTGTGCACGTCTGTGTCCCAAGGTCCCTTCTTATAAGGACATCAGTCATAGAGCACTAGGACCCACCCTAATGACCCCATTTTAATTTGGTCACCTCTGTGAAGACCTTATTTTCCAATAATTATCCTTCTGAAGTGTTGGTGGTTAGGACTTCAACATACAAACTCTGAGGGGACAGAATTCGCCCCAGAACCCCTCTGAACTCGCATGTGGTGTCAGATGTGCAGGCAGTCTCAACCTCTGACCTTATAGTTGGTAGTTCACTCTTCACGAAAGAAGAGCTAAAGAGAGAGATCACACCCATTAGGGTGGCCATCATCCAAAAACAGACAATACCAAGAGTTGGCGAGGATGTGAAGTCAGAAGACTTGTGCATGGCTGGTGGGAATGGAAAATGGGGCGGCCACTGTGGAAAACAGCTTGGTGGCTCCTCAAACAATGAAATACAATTACCATATGAATTGCATAAAATTATCACATAGAATGACCACAGGACCCAGCAATGCCATTCCCAGGTATATACCCGAAGAACCTGAAAGCGGGGTCATGAAGCTCTAATATATCTGTGTTCACAGCAGCATCATCCACAGTGGCCAAGAGGTGGAAACACCCCAAGTGTCCATCGGTGGGTCAAAGACAAACACAATGTGTCCACCCACACGCTGGAATATTCTTGTTCAGCCTCGGGAAGGAAGGCATCCTGCCACCTGCCACCTGCCACCATGTGGATGGACCCCGAGGATGCTGTGTGCAGGGACAGAAGCCAGACACAGAAGGACACATCCTGCACGACCCCACTCATAAAGGAGGTCCCTAGAGGAGTCCTGTTCACAGAGACAGAGAGTAGATGGTGGGAGCCAGGGCTAGGGCAGGGGGGTGAGGAGTCAGTGCTTCATGGGGACATAGCCTCAGTTTGGGGAGGTGGAAAGTTCTGGAGACGGATGGTGGGGTGGCAGACAACATTCACAATGATGTGAATGTGCTTAATGTCAGTGAGCTGTGTACTTAGACATGGCTAAGGTGTCTTGTGTGTATTACTGAAAGAGAGGAAGGGAAGGAGGGAGGAGGAAGAAAGGAAAAGAAAGAAGGGAAGGGAGGGATCAGGAGAGAGCGCAAGCAAGGAGGTACATAGGCCACAAACTGAAACAGGAGGCGGATAGATGGAGGAGGTGAGGAGGAAGCCAGTAACCATGGGGAGCAGCAGGACACAGTTGATACAGAAACATCCAGAATGTGGAGAGCCAGGAGCCAGATTCTGTGAACAAACAAGGAAACTCAGGAGGAGCCGGCCGCCTGCTGGCTGCGCCTCTGAGTCCCGCTGATCCCCGGGCTGGACCTGCACCAGTGCATTCGCGCCCCGGCACGACCCCCACGCGGCCTCCTCCAAGGGCCGAGAAACCTCATCCGGCAGTTGGCAGGCTTGGTGGAGGGCAGATAAAAATCAGGCTACAAAATCTGCCTCTGAACCAAGCAAGGCTTAGAAAGGCAGGGACTGTTTGGTCCGAACAACCTGACAGTGTCCCCGGGCACTTCCACAGAAGTGGCATTTTGCTTAGACCCTGTGGTAGGTGGAAGAATAGCTCCAAAGGCGTCCATGTCCTCGTCCCCGGGACCTTGGACATGCTCGCCTCGCACATTGAAGGCACTTTGCCAGGGGGGGCCAAATTGAGGCCCCTAAGGCAGGGGTGACCCTGGGTTCTTCAGAGGTGCAGGGTCCTCACGAGGTCCTCATAAGAGGGAGGCAGAGAGAGGGGCAGACCTCATGCTGCTGGCTGTGAGTATGGAAGAGTGGCCACAGGCCACAGATGTGGAAAAGGGGAGAGACGGGTCTCCTTGGGACCCCCGGGAGGAACCAGCCCTGCCCACACCTGGATGTAGCTCCGGGAGGCCCACATTGTTACAGCAGCAACAGGAATCTAATACAAGCTTTCTGTGGGCAGTGCTGACCCAGGAGAGAGGGTTGAGTGTTGATTCAGGACATTAGGCATCTTCATAGGAAAAACACCTTGAAAATGGGAACTGCCTTTCCCCCATGGTGCTCTACAGTCAGGTGGAAGGAATGCTGGTCATCAGAAGACCAAAATCCATGTTCCAGCTTCAACCCAAGTAGTCTGTGACCCCCAGAAAGGTAAACCTCTTCAGGCCTAATTATGGCCAATGACCGGCCTTCTCCCTTTAGTTCTCATTTCTTATAACGTGGGGTGGCAATATCGTTTTCGTCTTCCCAGATCACTTTCTTTGGGGAAGACTTACCCCAGGCGTGAGCCCCACGCACCTGGCCACCAGACCTACCAGTCACACTCTCATGCCCACCCCCTTTGGTGCCAGGTCCACACTGAACCCAGGCCTGCCAGTCACGATACCCACCTCTTCACTCCCATCAGTGATTGGTCCATGGGGTCATGCATGACTGAAGCAAGCCAACTGAGTTTCTTCCCTGAGTTTCAACTGTATGAAATTGCCCTTTTTTTAGACCCAAAACAACAGGACATGATCAATTTCATACAGTTCAACTAACAATAATAGGGGGGAATGGGGGGAAGCATTCTTCCCAGTGGGGCTCCTAAACTGCCATAGGTAGGCTTGGGGCCACCTTGACTGTCAACAGGAAGGAGGATGAGATCAACACCCTGAAGGAAGAGATGTGGGGGGGCACACCCAGGGGCACGCTTCAAGGGACAAGACCGAGTGACCCAGCTCTGCCAGAGGCCAGGGCTTCTTCTGGTTTGCCCAGGCAAAGGAGCCAATCTTTGCTTGAACTGGTTCAGGATGGGGTTGTCTCTCTTATAAGACTAAGCTTATGGCTCATCAACACACTAAAGCAGGGAGCAGTAACTTCTACTACACGGGCACTAAGGAAGATCCTCTTCACCCACCTCTTCAGCTCTGGTCAGACAAACACACACTACAGTCAACACAGTGTCAGGGTCATCGGAGTTCAGGGTCCCAGATGATGTCACCTCCCCATGTGTTGGGGTGCCTGTTTCCCCAAGGCCTTTGTAGACTTGTGGACATGTAGCCCCAGCGGGCCTGTGGTCAGGAAACTCCCTCCTAAACTCCTCTTCCAGTCTGATTAGGGGCTTCCTAGAGGCAGCAGGAGTGATAGAGGGGCCTTCCACTAGGTCTTTGTGTCCTCACCAGCTGGCTCCTCTGCTGGTAACATCTTGATGGGACCACGTAAGCAGCCACCAAACAAAACACATCAACCAGTTGTAAGCTGCAGAGGCCTTTCTCGTCACTATCTGTCAGCCTTCTCCCACCCTGTCCTCCACGGCTCCCTTCTCTGGTGCTGCCCCTAGGAGAGTCCACAGCACCAGTGATCATTTATCTACCAGCAAGCCCCACATAGAAGTTTCCAGTTCATGTCTCTCTGGAGCTTCAGATGGGAATGGACATGGGACACTTCTGCACACAGCTCAGCTTGTCCCAAGTGGGAAGTGTATTACCCCAGCCAACCTGCTCACTCTTCTCTCTCCAGAGTCCTGGGGACTACCTCTCCCATTTGCTGATGCTCTAGACCAGCCCCCCCCTACCCCCCCAGTCTTCCTCTATCACTTCTCCATCTTCCTTCCCTTCCTTGCTGGTCACCTCCAAATCTGGCCACTCCACGTCCTTCCTCCTTTCCAGGGGTCCCCCCCCACCCATTCCTGCTCCCATACCTTCACCCCTTCCCTGGGCTAGTGGTGTTCTTGCCTGCGTCAACCTACCCATTTTTTATACAACTAGAGATAGCTACCTAGACCATGGGATCTCACCCAGGGTGATTTTGCCTTCAGGGGACAGTGGGCAGATGTTTGGGGATGTTTGCGGCTGTCATGACTAGGGGCACTCTTGGCATTGAGGGGGTGGAAGTCGGAGATGCTGCTCAACTTCTCACAGCCCAGGATGCCCCACATGTCCACAGTGCCAAGGGAGAGAGGCCCTGGTCTGCACACATACAATGGCACTACTCCCTGGCCCTTCAGTAGCTCTTTACCACCCTCAGCACCAAGTTCAAAGTCTAGGTCCTCACCTGACTCTCTTCACCAGCCCTTGCTCCTAGCCATTCCATGTGTATTCTCCCAAAGGAATCCTGACACCTGCTATAACATGGAGGGACCCCGAGGACACTGTGCGCCACAGGACAGAAGGACAGAAGCCAGACACGGACAAATCCTGCGTGACCCCACTCACAGGGGGTCCCTAGAGGAGTTCCATCCACAGAGACAGAGAGTAGATGTGGGAGCCAGGGGTGGGGCAGGGGGCAGGGAGTCCATGTTTCATGGGGACAGAGTCTCAGTGTGGGGAGATGGAAAGTTCTGGACACGGATGATGGGGGTGGCTGCACCACAGTGTGAGTGTGCCTGACGCCGCTGAGCTGTGCGCTCAGAGATGGTTACGATGGTGAGTTTTAGGTTGGGTGTACTCTATTGCAATAAAAAAAATCGCTAACAGAAATCGGAAAGGATGGATGGAGCAGAAGTTTGTGCCTGTCCTTGTGAGTGTGGATTCCAGAAGGGGGGTTCAGCGCTGGTGCAGTAAACGCTGGTGTGGAGTAGAAGGCGTAAAGCCATGGAGGCAACAGGGCTCCCTGGCTGGGAAGTGATTATGAAGTACTCCATGGACACATGCAGGTTAGAGAATCTTCTAGACCCCTGTCAACTCCTCAAGGACAGACGTGCACCTTCTGCCTTGCTCTCATGTCCTGGTAAAGCCTGTGCAAATCGTTGGCACACACAAGGCATTTGTTGCTTCAGTGAAAAGCTAACAATTTTACCAACAAGTGAGCTATCAGTATGCCTATATTAGCTTTGCAAAAAGTTGGCTAAAGACCTCTAAGGAGCAACCTCTTTGCATCGCTGTATGTTCCACTTAATGACGTAACATTGAGAGACAAAAGCTGAAGGCTGGATTGATCAGGGGCTAATTACCAGTTTCCAGTCATAAAGTCAAGTCGATTTAAAACTCAACTTTCTCAAAGCACCCGTATTTCTTGTTTTTTTTCAATATATGAAGTTTATTGTCAAATTGGTTTCCATACAACACCCAGTGCTCATCCCAACAGGTGCCCTCCTCAATACCCATCACCCACCCTCCCCTCCCTCCCACCCCCCATCAACCCTCAGTTTGTTCTCAGTTTTGAAGAGTCTCTTATGCTTTGGCTCTCTCCCACTCTAACCTCTTTTTTTGTTTGTTTGTTTTTTCCTTCCCCTCCTCCATGGGTTTCTGTTAAGTTTCTCAGGATCCACATAAGAGTGAAAACATATGGTATCTGTCTTTCTCTGTATGGCTTATTTCACTTAGCATCACACTCTCCAGTTCCATCCACGTTGCTACAAAAGGCCATATTTCATTTTTTCTCATTGCCACGTAGTATTCCATTGTGTATATAAACCACAATTTCTTTATCCATTCATCAGTTGATGGACATTTAGGCTCTTTCCATAATTTGGCTATTGTTGAGAGTGCTGCTATGAACATTGGGGTACAAGTGCCCCTGTGCATCAGTACTCCTGTATCCCTTGTGTAAATTCCTAGCAGTGCTATTGCTGGGTCATAGGGTAGGTCTATTTTTAATTTTCTGAGGAACCTCCACACTGCTTTCCAGAGTGGCTGCACCAGTTTGCATTCCCACCAACAGTGCAAGAGGGTTCCCGTTTCTCCACATCCTCTCCAGCATCCATAGTCTCCTGATTTGTTCATTTTGGCCACTCTGACTGGCGTGAGGTGATATCTGGGTGTGGTTTTGATTTGTATTTCCCTGATGAGGAGCGACGTTGAGCCTCTTTTCATGAAAGCACCCGTATTTCTAAATTGCAGTAGAGTTCGGACCAACACGTGAAGTTCATTTAGGACTTAAAAAAAATGTCAGCCCCAAACCGAATCTGCCTACGTCGATTATCTTTCCCTTTCCCTTGTCACTCAGATACAATGGAGACAAGCTGTCTCAGACAAATGGGCAGTTTACTTAGGGAAAGGTACAGGGATGGGAGGCTCCAGAAGATCCTTCATGCCCTTAATCTCAGACTACAAAATATCTTCCAGAGTTTGTTTTATTTTTGTTTTTTTTGTTTTTGTAAAGATTGGGCTGGGAGAGAATGGACAACGAAAGCTGAGTGCAAAGAGGGAAGATAGCCGATTAAGAGAAATAAGAGAGAACCCAAGAAGGCGATTGCTGGCTCACGCGGTGACCTTGAGCTAAGAGAAAGCCCTGGACAGGATGAGGCATAGTTTATTTTTTTTTTTTTTGAAAGAAACGTAGGAGGATAAGTTACCACCTGCGCTTGAGAGATACATGAGAACACCCCAGACAAATCTAAAGAATGAGTGCAGTGGCAAAAGAAGAGAAATGAGTAGGCACAGACTTGCTGTCCCCAGTTATGGGAATGACCAGTAGAAGCTTCAAGAAGGACTGACACCGGTTCCAAGATCTGAAGTGTGCACGGAGACAGAGGGAAGGAAGAGGCAGGGTGTCTAGAACGTAGAGACCCAAATTGTGAGCTGTGAACACCAGCGTCTCCAAGCTGAACCTGTGGCTTGCCCAGCATCCAGCTCGAGTACATACCCCCCCTGTCCCGACGTTCCCGGGCCCAGGCGGGAGGCGAAATGCCAGCCTCTCATCCCAACTCAGCAAGGATTGGGTGACACCGAGGAAGTCACCCCCATCTGGGGTGACCAAGTGTCTTAGGTCACCTGGAACTGTTCTAGTCATAACCTGGAGATCAGGACATCTGGGCACCTGCTCCCCCTCTGTCTTCATCTACCAGGAAGGGTCTGGAGCAATTCAGGGGTTCCCAAGGGGGTGCTGAGCACGACGCCAGGGCGGGAACAACTTGTTTCCAGCCCCCCGATGATGCCGGGGACAGCTTCAGCTTGGAGCCAACATGTTCCTAATGCCACTCTTGTCTGTGACTGTTTTCAAAAAGGGCGTGAACTGTGGGTGCACAGCCTTCAGGGAGAGTACCCAGCCCAGTGCCTAGGGTGAAGGGATCGAGGGGCTGGCCTCAGGGGCAAAGTGCAAGGGTGCCCCCACAAACCTCAGTTCGAGATAAATATTTTCACACAACATTTTAAACATATAAACATTAACAGCAAGAAAACGAGCAACCAAATACCGATGTGGCACACAAAGACAGGACTTTGCACGTCCCCGACCACCTCTCTCTCCGCCCCCACTCCCAGCCCTGCCGGGTGCTGTGTTGGTTTGAAACTTCGATATTTTGCTCATCGGGAATTTCTCTGCGTTCATTGGTGTTTTCGTGATCGCATTGCAGCATCATTTCTCATGAACACTGACTGTTTTTTTGTCCCTTCAAATTTTGTGCCCAAGGTGAGTGTCCTGCCTGCCTTGCTTCGTCTGGGCCCCGAAGGGCAGTAACTACCTAACAATACTGGTTTTCTTCCCATGTACTTATTTATTGTCAGTGACCTCTTTCTTTTTTTTTTTTTTCAATGTTTGTTTACTTTGAGAGAGAGAGTGTGCTAGTGGGGGACAAGCAGAGAGAGAGGGGGACAGAGGATCCAAAGCAGGCTCTGCACTGACAGCAGCAAGCCTGATGTGGGGTTCGAACTCACGAACCCACAAGATCGTGACCTGAGTCGAAGTCAGACACTCAACTGACTGAACCCCCCCCCCAAGGTGCCCCTTTCTTATTTTCTATTTGTGTTGCAGTGACTACATTTTCTTTTTAAAAGGGGAAAAAATTTTAATTTAAAAAAGTAGGCCATTTCAAGAAGATTTAATGAATATTTTCACGGTCTCCCTCCAGATAGGTGCCCTCCTCCAGTGACGCCACTCAGTCTTGTGGTTTTAATAACATCCCTGAATTCTACAAGCTCCTGGCCAGACTCCTCTTCTGAATTCTGGACTCAGGTCCAGCTGGCTGCTGGAGCCTCCTCCTGCTGGTGACCCAAGGTGACCCCGTGGGCCCTCCCCTCCTGGTATTCACACCCCTGGGCAGTCTCGCCCCCTGAGTTTGTGTGGCTTGCTTCTACCCATTGGAACGCAGCAGAGCCAATGGGCCATCCCTGTCCTGAGTATATTGCGTTAGGTAAGACCCTGTATTGGCAGACTGGAGCTAACAACCCCCTTGCTGGCTTGATGAAGTATGTGGCCACCTAGGAGACCCCCAGATGGCCTGTAGGAACAGAGGGCGGCCACCAGCTGGCAGGCTGCCAAAGCCAGGCCCTCCGTGCTCGCCCATGACCTGAATGAGTTTGGAAGGTGGGTCCTTCCCCAGTCTGGCCTTCAGTTGAGAACACGGTCTCGTGTGACCCTGAGCACGGGGGCCGGCTCAGCCACGTCCAGATTCCGGACCCACAGAAACTGAGAGGTATTAAATGTGAGCTGGTTCAAGCCACCAAACTTGTGGTGACCCCAGCCCAATGACTGGCAAGCTGCTCAGATCTGACGCACACCAGACTGAAGCCTGTGGCTTCCCACGGCCTTCCCTGCCTCAGGCAGCACCTTCTGTGATCAACTGAGACCACATCTCCTAGGGTCAGCATGACATGTTTCCACAGCCTGGAAGTGCTGGCTGCCCCACCCCCAGAACATACCTAGCATTGGCCCACCTGTGCCGCACCTGCCTTGGTTAAACAGAGAACCACCCGGGCCTCATCACAGGGCTGGCGGCTTCCATCCTCAGCGGCTAAAACCTGACTCAGGCCATGTCCCACCTCTGCTCAATCCTCCCCGGGGCTTTCACTCAGGGCAAAATGCCTGGGAGACCCAGTCCCACCCATCCTCCCTCGTCTGTCCTCAGCTGTTCCTCCTTCCTCCCTCACTAGAGCCACGGAGCCTTCCCACTGCTCCTCAAACGTGCAGGACACAATCCTGCCCCGGGGCCTTTGCATCTGCTGTGCCTGCTGCCTGCCATGCTTATCTATATCCTCATGGCAGATGCTTCCACCCCCCTGCTGTATCTGTTTTCTCCTGGATTGTGCAGTCTGCACCCTTGGGAGTAGACTGCAGGATGGCGCTGAGCCTGGACTTCCATGGGTCCCTTTGGGAGAAGCGGAAGTCAGGGAAAGAGCAAATGGACGTTCTCTTCATTCTTAACCCAATCCTGACCGAGAGAACCGCCGTCCCACCCCACACTCTGGCCTCACGGCTCCAGGGGGCACAGCTTGGTGTCAACGGCTGGGACGTCACTCCTCAGCACAGCGTGCCAGAGCAGTGGACCAAGGCTTCAAGGGCTGCCACGAGAGGCGTCGTCTCGGGGGCCGCTTGCCGCGACGATGCTCATGCACCACTGCACAGATGCAGGCCCGGAAGCGGCTCTCCCGGCCCCGGCCAACACCCTGACGGCAACATCATGAGAGGCCCCGAGCCCAGACCACCTGGATGAATCACCCCCAGATCCCGCCCCACGGAAACCGTGGCATGATAAACTGATAAACGTTTGTTGTCAGTAAACCTCACCCCCAACATGGGGCTCGAACTCCTGACTCCAAGATCAAGAGTCACAGTCTCCACCAACTGAGCCTACCAGGTGCCTCTAATAAATGTTTTAATCTGCTAACATCCGAAATAATTTGCTATGCATCATCCGCTCACTCATTTATACGCAGACCCCACCCGGTGTTCTGTTCCCTTCCAGGCACCACACTTTACTATCGGGGGCCCATCTGGCCCCTTCTCTCCACCTCTTCCAGGCCCCCCACCCTTTCTGTAGCGGCCAGGTGCCCGCCGCCGATCTCCCCTCGCCCCCAGTGGCCACCTGTGCCCCGTCAGTTGGGGTGCTGATCCAGCGTCTGCAAGGGCAAAAGAGCACCGGAGTTCACTGTCTGCCCAGGAAAACCCTGACTTCGCCTCTGCTTCGACCCTCCCCCCTGCCCCCACCCCACCCCAGCCCCCTGTGAAAGCCCATCTTTTTCCCCTGATCCCATGTGATGCTGGCCCCCCTCCCCTCCCGCCCGGCTGCACGGCCCAAGGCCTGCTGCTGGAACAGGCCCCCCTTGCCCGCCCTCCAGCCTCTCCTGTTTCTCCCGCCTCTCTGCGGGCTCGCCAGGAGACCTCCCCTGCCCGCCGCCCCCACTCCATGAAATAAATCACTCAGCAAGCCTACAGGAAATTTAATAAGCTCGGCCTCTTTTTTTTCCTTTCTGTCTGTGGACTTTTTGTTAGGTTTTCATGGGAAGAGGTGTTTGTGAGAAAACTGTTTGCGGTGATGATATCGTGTGTTCCCTTAGCTTTAGTAACATGCACAGAGGAACAGGGAGTTGGGGACCCCTCAGGGCGCCGGGCGGGGTTGCTGATAAACATGGGTGATACCCGGGAAAACAGATAAAGATTCAAAGATTCAAGAAACAAACCTCCAGCCACCTACAACTTGTATAATTTAAAACTAACACAGGTCTGGGGCGCCTGGGTGGCTCGGTTGGTTGGGCATCCAACTCTGGATTTTAGTTCGGGTCATGAATGATCTCACAGTTTGTGGGTCTGAGTTGGGCTCTGGGTTGACAGTGCAGAGCCTGCTTGGGATTCTCTCTCTCCCTCTCTCTCTGTCCCTCCCCTGCTCGTGTGCACACACTCTCAAAATAAATAAGTAAAATGAAAATTTAAAAAGTAAGCTTAATGCAGGTCCTAAATGCCATGGGGGCTCTCAGACTGGAGCCCGTAACGGAAAAAGTACATTCGTGGGAAAACTGGGAAACCTGAACGAGGTTGGCGCAAGTGCTGTGACCACATTCATTTTCTGGTCTGCATCTTTGCCCGGTGATTACTTGAGGGGAAGCTGGTGCAGCGTGTGCAGGGACCTGCCATGCCGTCTTTGCAAGTAAAATTGTTCCCAAATCATTGATTTTATGTTTTTAATGTTTTTAAATTTTATCCTGTGTAAAAAAATTTTTTTTAATGTTTATTTATTTTGTTTTTTTTTTTTTAATTTTTTTTTTCAACGTTTATTTATTTTTGGGACAGAGAGAGACAGAGCATGAACGGGGAAGGGGCAGAGAGAGAGGGAGACACAGAATCGGAAGCAGGCTCCAGGCTCTGAGCCATCAGCCCAGAGCCCGACGCGGGGCTCGAACTCACGGAGCGCGAGGTCGTGACCTGAGCTGAAGTCGGACGCTTAACCGACTGCGCCACCCAGGCGCCCCTAATGTTTATTTATTTTGAAAGATAGAGGATGAGCAGGGAAGGGGCAGAGAGAGGGGGAGAGGGAATCCCAAATAGGCTCCCCGACATCAGCAATGAACCCAACACAGGGCTAGAACTCATGAACTGTGAGACCATGACCTGAGCTGAAATCAAGAGTCGGCCACTTAACTGACTGAGCCACCTGGGCGCCAGAGAGAGGGAGTGCAAGTGGGGGAGGGGCAGAGAGAGAGGGAGAGAGAATCAGAATCCTAAGCAGGCTCCATGCGGTCAGCAGAGAGCCTGACGTGGGGCTCAAACTCACAAACTGTGCGATCATGACCTGAGCCGAAGTCCAACGCTCAACCGAACTGAGCCACCAGGTGCCCCCCCCGCCAAATCATTGATTTTAATTAATAGAGGTAGAGTAGGAAAAACAAAGCCTTATCCAGGTATGAGCCAGCAGCCCAGAATATATTATCCTTTGCATTAATTTTAGAGCCATGAATGTTAAAATACATAGCTGGGGACAGCTGTGTCCCGTCTCTACTCACGTGGACAAGGAGAGGAGCAGCCATGAGCAGAAAGGTCACGCCTGCCACCAGTTTATAGATGAAGAAACTGAGGCTTGGAGAGACTCCCTCTCTCTGCCTCTGTCTCTCTGCCTCCCCTCCTCCTCTTCCTCACACACACAGTTCTTTTGATCCCAGCGATGTCCCCCACTTCGCTGGTGGCTTCTCTGTCGCGAAATGGGCCCCTGCCACCCCAGGACCCTGCTGTCCAGGTACAGCAGGTGAGCCTCCCAAGATGGGGTTCTCAGCTCCCCATGCACCAGCCACACCCCTCGGTAAGAGTCACGCGTCCCAGAAGCACACGGCGGCCCCCACACGCACCTTGCCTGTAGCGCGTGGATGACGAGGCCCAGACACAGGCATCTGCTTCCCCTGCCTCTGTTCCCCTCCAGGACGGGCAGGGCTCACCCGGCCGCGGTCAGAGGAGCGCCCGCCTCTGCCCGGTCCCTCCCGGGTTCCTCCCAGTCCCTCCCAGGGCATCAGACTCTCCCCCCACAGCAGTGATCGCAGTGATCGCGGGAGGGGGATGCTCTGTCTTCAGGCCGCACTCAGAGCAGGCTGTTCCGAACAGGAGTTCCCAGCCTTAGCGGAAGGCCGCTCACCACGCTGCAGACCCTCCAAACCCCGCCCTGCACACGGAGTGAACTTGGGGCCACATGCACGTCAAGGACGGAGCTCAAAGCCGGGATGGGCTGCGGGCTTCACTGGCCTCAGTCCACGCACCGCGGTCAGATCAGTGCCTACGTCTGACGTCTTGTGTGCGAGGGCCGCGTGCCGCCACGTCTCCTGGGGACCGCCGTGGCCTGGCTCTCCGATCCACGCGAGCCGCGGTGGCCGCCATCCCCGTTCTCCAGGCCGGGAGGCTAGTGAGGAGTTCACACACGTGATGCCTCACACAACCGCGTACAAAATCAGACAGCATCTCCCAGTGCAATCACAAACACAACACAGACACACACAGGCTCACGTGCGTGGTCGCACACTGAGTGACACAGCCACGCACAGCCACCCCACAAACACTCCGGGACACAACTACACACGGTCACGCGTGACTGTACATCCTCACACAGCCACACAAGAGCACACACTGTTGCCATACAGCCACACGCGACTGCACAACCTCACACACGAGGTGGCAGCGACACAGACGCACAGTCTCACACAGCACCCCGGTCAGGCCTGCGGGCAGGTGGCACGGGCTCTGGGTCCGCGGCCACGCGCAGAACCTGAGTCCACTCACCTGCAGGGTTCCCGAGGCTGTCCCTGCACGTGGCAATGAGGCTTGCGTTTAATGTGAACACACAGTCCCCCAAAGCCCACACCTTCCCCCGTGGGGTCCAGGGAGCCTGCGAACCCTGAGATGTGGCCCCTGTGGCCCGGCCACCCTCAGCCATTTCAGGGGCAAAGCGAGTACTTCTGACCGGACCGCAGAACTCCAGTGACAGCCTGCCCTTGGTGCCAGGGTGGCTTTCCTGCCACACAGAAAACAGAACCCTCACCCCTTCAGACCACACCCTTCCTAACGTGGCCCCGGTACCCTTGTCGTTTGTCACTTCCAGGGAATCAGATGCTGACCGGAGGGCCGGGCGCCCCACAGCCCTCACTGCCTCTGTCCCGGGTCCCTCCCGCACTCCCCTCCGCCCGGGGCTCCAGCTTAGCGTGAACGGAGGGCGGGGAAACGGCGCCCTTGGCTGCCGGGACACGCAGTGCAACTGGCCTCGTCGCCGCGACCCCCGGGCCTCCCCTCCCCGCCACCTGTCCAGCCGGCTCCGCGGCGGCTCTGCCCCACCTGCCGCGCAGTGCCGCCCCGGGGGGCCACCGCGCAGAGGGGCCGTCCCAGCCCTTCCAGGGACCCAGACTCACCGAGCCGCGGAGCCGCGCAGGGGCTGAGGCCGCGCCAGAGCCGCCACCACCGCCGGCCAGCGGAGCCCAGCGAGCCGCCAGCACCAGGGAGGCGGGGCGGGGCGGGGGGCGCGGCCTCCCTCCTCCCCCTCGGGCGCAGGTGGAGGGTGAGGCCAGGGGCGGGCGAGTCCAGGACGGGGCCTGGGTGGGGGTGGGGGGTGGGGTGGGGGGGGGGGGGGGGGGGGTCTCGGGGAAGGGGTGTGTGAGTAACTGCCATAGTTTAAAAAACCCACTTGATTTCAGAAGTTTCAGATTTACGGAAGAGCTGTGGAGAGCGCCAATTACTCTGCACCCCGTTTTCTCCGTGAGTGACGCGCCATCACAATTAACGAACCGATAGTGACACATTGTTAGTTAGCGAACATCCGCACTTTATTCATTTTCTGGCCCAGGTCCCCCAGGCTGAGGCACTTTCTCAGGCCCCTCGATTCCGAAGCCGTGGGCAGTCAGGAAAGGGCTGGTCAGGACGGGGGGAGGGGGGCGTTTGTCGTGGCCAGGCTGGGGCAGGGGCCTGGCCTCAGTTTTGACACGCTTGCCACAGCCACGCTGGGACCCTCGGCCTCCCCACCTGCTTGCTTCTCCCTCACCGGCCCTGGGGGGGACACATCTTCATCTCTGCTCAGGACACTCGGGGGATGTTTTCTGAATTGTCTCCAGGGACCAGCTGTCTTACTACCATTGGTGGCATCGTCTTTCATGTCCTAAGTGGCGACTGACTTTTGTGGGAAACGCCATAAGCCATGGGGAGCCAAGCATGGTGCTAGAGGGAGAGCAATCCTCCGGGTCCCGGCTGCCTGCAGCATGGTCCCGTTTCCTGAGCACATGCAGGGAGGCCCTGGAGAAGCAGCCGTCACACCACTGGCAGAAGCAACAGCTACAGCCCCAGAGGGAGCATAGGGGCATGACCGAGGTCACTCCTCCAGCATGTAAGCCAAGACTGCAGACCTGGGCTCTTCCCACTGCTGCACCTGTCCTTGAGCTACGACAGCTGTGGGGGGAGGGGGGGTCTCCCTCCCCTCCCCCCACCAGGACAGGTGCCACTATGCCCTTTCTAGGACTCTTGCCCCCTCACCTTCTGGTGACACCGGCCATGCCTTCCCCATGGGGCCAAGAGACCCCTGCCCCTCTCCTGCCCTCCCAGCAGCCATGCTGATCTCCCCACTACAGGCCTCACCTGTCTCCTCCAAGTTCCCTTCCCAAAGACAAAGACAGGTGTGGACTCGTGTCCTGTCCCTCCTCTCCAGGGTCAGCCACCTGGGGCAGAGTGGGGTCTGAGCCTCGCACGTGAATCCCCGGTGGAGGCGGGGGCCTGGCACACAGCAGGCGCTCAATGAAGGCTGATGGAATGAACGAGTCATGGAAACCAAATAAGCTCTGGGGCTTTAGTGGAAGAACACTGCTGTCCTCACGGCCCCGAGCCAACTACAGAGCCCGCACTCCAGCACCGAGCCGAGCCCCGCCACAGGGCAGGAGCACTGTCCCCCCTGCGCCCACCCGCAGCTCTGCGCGTGGGGCCCTCCCTGCCCTCACGAAGGACGCTGGGCCCCCGGCCCCCGCGGCCTGGCCGAGACCACTGAGCACCCGGTGTCGGGACCATCTCGGAGGAGCGACGCGTCTCTGCTGCGTCTCCGCCAGCCCCGCGCAGCCAAGTGGACCGGCCTCGGGAGCCTCGCCTTCTCTCTCTGCAGCAGAGCAGAGGCACCGCTCACACCGTGGGCGGCACAGCCGGGGGTGGGCCCGCCGCCCTTGGAAGATGCTGGCAAAGAAAGGGCTTCACTGTGTTGACTAGTTGAAAAATACCAAAAGGAGGCTATCACGTGACCTCTGAACACCACTCGGAAGCCACATCTCTGTGTCCGTCAGCGCCCTGGCCACGGGCACGCCTGCCCGCCACGTGCTGTGACACTTGGGTTATGGCAGCAGGGCTGAGTTGTGGCAGGGACTGGGTGGCCTGGAAGACCCCAAACACGCTGGCTGGCTCTTCACAAAGTCTGCGGGGTGCGGATCCCCGCCACGCTGCTTAGATCACCACGGACACGCGATGGCCCGGAACACGGGGTGGACTGAGCGCTGACTGGGCTTCCTTCGACCCTCCAGTGCCAGGAAATAGGGCAGCAGCCCTGCTCGGCTCCAGTGGGCGGTACGGACGCGCTCCCCGGGGCGGTGTGGCCATCCTCGCGGACCAGGCCACTCTCATCCTGCCGGGCCGGGCTCTGCCAGCTGCCACACTGTGGGAAACATGAGAGCCAAGCAACAACTATCAAAAGCTGTGTCAGGGCGCCTGGGGGGGCTCAGTCGGTTGAACGCCCAACTCTGGTCATGATCTCGCGGCTCCTGGGTTCCAACCCCGCGGCGGGCTCTGTGCCGACAGCTCAGAGCCTGGAGTGGAGTGTGCTTAGGATTCTGTCTCTGTCTCTCTCTGTCCCTCCCCCACTCATGCTCTGTTTCCCTTCAAAAATACAGAAGGCAAAAACTGCAAATGGACACTTCAGGAACTAACAGCCGCCTTGAATTCCTTGATGTTTGTCAAACACAGAAGACAGAGAGAAATCCCGGCTCCTACACCGACGTACAAAATGGCTTAGAGTAAGGTGTGGGCCGATGTGCAAAGGGGGCCACTCAGGCCTGGCACCCCGGCCGCCCAGGGCTGCACCCCAGCTCCGGCCTCCGAGTCAGGGGCTCTCTGGGGTCGGCAGGTCCAGCTGGTCTCCCTCCCAGGTCACCTGTTTTTTTAAGAGACACACAGAAACAGGTGGAAAACGTTCTCTTTTTTTTTTTTTTTTTGGAATAACCATTTCTTCTAGAGAAGCATGGCTGACAAAGGCTGTGAGTCTGTCTGGTGCTGGTATTTTCTGGAATGGATCATGGTTGACCCCCCGCCTGCTGTCTACAACTGATCAGCAGACACGTCGGGGACAGAGCTGGGACCGTGCGGCTGGAGGGTCTATGTCTTTCTGAACTTGAGTCTGTAAGCTGCGTGGACGGGCATGGCCCTGGCACGGGGGCCGCTGCACCGCGGCATTTCTGTCCTGACGTTCGGAGAACCCTGTCGGTGAGGTAGAAGACAAAATGCCGATTCCAGAATACTCTCCACGTTGCAGAAACTCCTGGGCGGTTTAAATAAAAAGTATGCTCGCCCGGCCGGTGGTGTCGCTAGAGGCCGGTCTGGGGTGGGGTTGAGAATGTGCAGATGCCGAGAGGACGGTGCCCCCCTCCCCAGTCCCTCTAAGCTGAAAGACCAAACGGAGCCCACACAGAAGACACAGCCGCCGTGGAGGGTGCGGCCTGGCACCCACCCGCCCCAACAAGGGTGGTCCGAGAGACTCACACCCAAGAGGTGACACTACGGAGCTCAACGAGTCATGGCCGTTTATTAAGAGGCGGAGAAGCTGGAGCGCAGGCATGGGCGGCCCTGGCTGCTGGAAGAGCCAGGCGGGCCCGAGAGGGGTGGCCCGTCACGCCGGGCGCCGCTTTCAGTCCCTGCCGACACAGAGGCAGGCCCGACACGGCCAGCCGGGCCCGCATCCTGAGTCCAGACATCCAGGGCCCAGGCGCCGGACTGGGCTCTGCTGGCCAGCGTCCCTGGGGACGCGCAGGCGCGGCACAGGAGAGAACCTGAGGGAAGTGGCGGCAAGGTAAGCACCAGATGTGGGCGGATCTGCAGCCATGGGCGGTCGGAGGCGGCACTTCCTGCCCTTTCTGAGGAACCACCGAGTTGACAGGCAAGACCGTGGAGCTGGGCGCTCCACACGGGTGACCTCGTCGGTCCGGGGGCTCACGGCAGCCACTCGAGCTGGGAGCAGGAGCTGGAGAGGGTCCAGGGTGCAGCTGGGCTCTGCTCAAGGAGGAGGAAGAGCGGGGACATCGGCCAGACCAGAGCACCAAGTTGGGGGGGGAGGGCCGAGCACATCCAGTCTCGGGGTCTCTCGGCGCAGAGGGGCGGCAGCGAGGGCCCGAGAGTCTGCGCCATCATCTAGGCCGAGGTGCCTACTGGGCCTGTGGGTTCAGGGGTGCGGCTGGCTGGGCTCGTGGGCTCCTGCGGGGGTGCTCTGGCCCCGGTCTCCTCGGGCGCAGACAATGCCGCGGGCTCCTTCGTGGGCAGGGAGCACTTGGCCAGTCCTTCGCCTGGAGGCGGCTGGGAGAGGCCAGTGTCTGAGTCCATCTGGGGCTGGGGGCCGTCGGCTGAAGACGCCGCCCAAGGAGACTGAGGTAGGTCCTTCTGTAAGAGAAGAGGCCACAGTCAGGCGTGGGACGAGGACAGGAAAGCCCGGGGACAGTGGACAGGGGAGGGCAGATGAGTCACCGTCCCCCGAGGGTCCAGCTCCAGACCCAGGAGCCACCTTCCCTTGGGGCCAAGTAGCACCAGCCAGAAGGCGGGACCACAGGCCGGTGACCCAATGCAGAAACGCTGAGCCTTGTTCCCCTGCCTCCTGAAGCTTCCAGAACTTTGCCCTGTGGCAAAGCCAGCACTCCTCGGGACTGAGAGCCTCTGAGGACGGTGGGCGATGAAGCCGGGAGCGTTTCCCCGAGGGCCCCGCGGGAGGGCCCAAGGCCCTATCATCGGTTACGTTATCTGGTTCATCTATCAGGTTAACCTGGGGCCCTGCTCCGTTCGGCGCCTCTAGGCCAGGACGGAGAGGGTGCGAGTTTCAACTTCCACAAAACCTGGCACGGTAACACCACACTCAACCAGCAGCGCTCCAGAGGGACACATGTCACACTCAGGAGCTCCTGTAACTGACAAGGCTGGTCCCGGTGTCGCCCGCCTCTGTGTGCTACTGACAGGGCAGCAGAGGCAGCCGCAGCCTTTCCATACCCGCAGGGCGTCAGCTCTGTCCCTGCGCCACTGAAACACGTGCCCTCGTCCCATCGAATGTGCTGCGCTGCACCAAGAGTGGCCTCCGTCCCTCTCCTCTTCTGTCTCAAAAACCAGGAACAGCAAGCCACTGGCCGAACTTGGTTCCTCCACCTGGCCTTGCACAGTTTGCCCCCGGGCCCCCTGCCCTTTCCCCGTCCTGGGTGGACAGCCCCCACCCTGGCAGAGGACCTCAGTGGCCCCCCCGGCTCGGCACTGTGTTCCCAAGGGCTGAAGCAGCCGGCAGCCAGTATCCCATCACATGGGGTGTCACGGTCCCTCGGGACTGGCACCTTTAGTAAAGGGCTGTTAGCACCATCCTCAAGCCACACCCAGTGGGACGGCACAAGCGCGTCCCCTCTGCTGGGACGGCTCGGACCCTTCAGAGCCACACGGACAGGACACCAAACAGAAGCTTCTGGGAACGGGGACAGAGGCCGCGGGGTTTAGTCGTGAAACTACGAGGTTTTACTCAACTTTAACTCTAGTTAGGGCTTATTGGGTTATTATTTCTCGCAGACAGTCATAGCAAACGGGTATTCACCGCAAAGCCGCTGCCCGTCCAGAACATGCCCAGCTCCCTGCGCCAGAGCGCTAGGGCGCAGCTTATCATCAGCGTGCAGGGCACCAGGTAGAGGAGGGCGGGCTGGCCGCGCTGCATGAGGGCCAGCGCCATGAACGTCACCAGGAGGCCGATCCCGTAGGCTGCAGGGAGAGACGGGCGGCGTGTTACCCCCACGGGTGGCCCCGTGGCCCAGCACCCGCCTGCGGCCGGGATGCCGGAACGGGGACTGGAGAGGCGGGGCGCCCGCCACACGGTAGCACATGGGGCACCCGGGGCAGGCAGGGGGCTGCCTGCCTGCGCACGGATGCGCCCGCGTCTTCCGGCACACACACCCCTGCCCGGTCCCACCGGGCACCAGCGAGACGGCGGGAATGAGCAAGGCTCCATGGCTGCGCCCCGGGTCTGGAGCCACAGGGGCAGCGAGAGAAAGGCCCGTTAACTGCCTGAGCACCTGTCTGCTCAGCCTTTAGCTAGGAAGAGAATTCTGGAGAAGAGTAACGTCCGCACAAAGTTACAAAAGCAAACATCCGTAACCAAGCTGTGATCGTTCAAAAGGCTGTTTCCATTCTCATGAGATACCCGACGGAGCCCCGAGGGGCGAAGGTCCGAATAAATCCCGCACATCGGTTCCATACGTGAGCGCCAGCATAGAAGGACGCGCGTTTGCGCACGCACACACACGTACTTGCACACACAGTCACGCACGCACACACTGCTGAACCCGAGGGCCGGCGTGCAGGCGCTCTTTGCGCTAATCCTGCAGCGGTAAATCCGCAACCGTCTCCTCGAGGAGTTTAGGCTACAGTAACCTCCTCCGAGATCGCGGCTCGCTCGGCGGTCCTCACCTCCGGGGAGAGCTGTGCGTCACTTACCGGCGGTCCACGGGAGCGGGCTGCGGCTGCGGAGGAGAAAGGCGCCCGCTGCCCGCAAGGTCCGCAGGCTCGACAAGGAACCACACACACAACCCGGCCAAGCGGCTCACACACACAAAGCCCTTGCAACGGTAGCTGAAGGATCAGTGTGGTGTGTAAAGCCCAAGGGAAGGTTTAGGGCCGGCAAAGGGGACGAGGGGGCGTGCCTGCAGCCGTAGCAGCCGGGGTGGGAAGACCCAGACGACCCCAAAGTACGCCCGGAAGGCCAGCCCCGGTCGTCCTAGTGCTACCAGGGGCATTTACAGGGCCTCGCCTCTGCCGGGGTGGGCTGCCGGGGCCTGTGCACGCGGCCCACGACGCGGCGGAGGGAGTCGTCAGGCAGCCCCTCCCCCAGCCTGGCTCCCCCATGGCGGGGGACACGCATGCACACGGACAGGCGCCATCGGGCAGGCCCGCTGCTCCTCCGGAAAGGCTGACCAGAGGTGAGCAGTCCGGCCGGTCTGGAAAACTCTCAAAGCAATCGGGCTCCACAGGACAGGTCGGTTCTGTAGCAATGGCTTTGGTAACCAAAGAAACAAGTGGGGGACAAGGACAGAAGGAAGGACAGAACAGATATAAGGAGGGCGCTTACCCACGGTGCAGGCTACAAAGTAGACCCTGGACGACTGCACCTGGATGTCGAACCTGTGGCAGTAGGCCACGAGCAGCCCTGCGGGGAGAAGGCACGTGGGCCCCGCGGCGTCCCGTGTGACGGCCGTCCCTGCTTTCAGACGGGGCTCGGCGGCCAGCCCGCCACCCGGGGGCAAACCCCGCCTGCTCCGCTCAGGCTCCACCCACTGGACGCTCCCAAGGCCGCCCACCTCGCACCCCAGTACCTGGCACCAGGATGTCCCCGAAGCCCAGGAGGGAGAAGGGCCGGTCACACAGGGCCAGCGGCGAGGCGTTCAGTCGGGGCACCTTCAGGACCATGGGGAGCTGGGGGGAGCAGGAAGTGCCATGTCTCAGGGGGCGCCGCGCGTGCCCAGCACTCTTCTCCGGGCAGCGCCCCGGCCGGGGGCCCCCTACGTACCTTCTCGTGGGTGGCCGAGTCCGAGGGCCCGGCTGCCACCTCCACCATGATGCTGTTCCCACTCTAACAAAGGGGGGGGG